CCCCCCACCTGACTCCACTTGCTGTTTTCCTCATTAGGCCACAGAGTCTTTCCCTTCACTAAATTCTAGGATAAGTGGAGCTCCTGTATGCTTGGCACTGAGTTATATCGCTGAGGGGTTGTGTGTCATCGGTCACGGGATCTCTTTGTCCTGCTGAGAAGGGATCTCCTCTGTGTTCATAGAACAATTCAGAAGAGGTGCTGACTCTATACAGGCTGAACGGTGGTCATGCAAGGAAGCTCTGGTATGCAGGGGAACCAGTTAGCACTGTAGAAAAAGAGCCTGTTGTTTTATTCAGAATTGTCAACAGCTTCAGCTAAACCAGTGGGATCATCTGCATAATGTGCTGGTAATCGTCCTCATTGTTCATTCTTCTAAACAAGAAGCTGAATAATTATGTTTCCAATTCACTCACCCGTGCTAATCTTTCTCTGACAAGGTAATCCTCGGGCCCAGGATTTACTTGCTCGTGTCACTCACCAGAAAGCTTTAATGCAGTTAGCATTCTTAGCAGTCACTGTGGCAGTGGTTCCACTAAAATATCTCCTGAACTTGGGTCACCTTTTTCTCTCTGCTAGTGTACTTACTGTGTCGTTGCTTGTCATTTTAGTAAAATCCCTCTGTGGTTTGGAAGCTTCTTGAGGAAGTTCTCTCCGTGTCGGGAGAGTCTTGTGACAGCAGCGATGAAATGGATACAAAGGAAAGCATCAACGGGCGAACTGCGTCTAGAAAAAAGAAGAGCAAAAGGCACAAAGGTACTGTCACCAGCCTCTCCTGGGGGGCTCCGTGTGGGCTGCTTCCACATCTTCTGTGCGTGTGATGTTAATGCTTGCTAGTCATGGGGCTCTTCGGGGCATTCTGTAACTTGTATGTGCACAAAGAAATGCCAAGGGTTAAATCACTTTTGAATCTGCTGGGACTTGGTCAGAGGTGTTGTCTTTTCACTGAGGCGGAGCCTTGGGCTTGAAATCAAAGCCTGAGAGCTCCTTGCTTTCAGTAAACTTCTCTCAACCTTGGAAAACCAGTGCTGCTCTTCAAAAGAGTTGTGAAACTCTGCCACTGGACGTGTTACTTCATTGAACATGTGTTGGTGAAAGCAGGGTTTGCTTTGGGCAAAAACCAGTGTTGCTGTCCATGATGCATTTGTTGGTAAAATACAGGCTCCATCTTCAGGATGTTTCCAAGGCTGTGGTTTGTTACAAATGAGTTCAGAGGGCTCTTTTTGAAGCAAGCAAGTGAATTTGGCCCTAGTGGCATCATAGTAAGTTAATTCCAGGGAGATGTATCCTTCAGCATTTACACTTTGTACAACTGTATAGAAAGCAATCTGCAACGCAGTCTAAGCGACAAACTGTTCTGCTGCGCTATGGGATCCTGCAGAAGTTTCTAATAACAGGTTGCTTTCAGGTTGAGAAACAAAGTCTAACTTGGTGTCTTGAATTTAAGAAAAACTTAACTTTATTAATGCTGATACTAATTTGTGTACCCCGTGAACCTCCACTATGGACTGTAGATGCGCGGTGCTCCTCTGGGATAGGAGATTAATCTCTTTTATTAAGATGTACTTGGAAATTCTGGAAAAATAATATCCGAGTGGCTGGAGTTATGGGAGTTACGAGTCTGGAAATACAGTATTCTGTTCTACCACAACCTTGTCTTATTTCTGCTAAGCGTTCAGGGAAGAAAAAATGGTAACAGACTAGTGATGCTTCTGGCAGCACTCTGCAGTCCAGCAGTTGTGTAGTTTAATGGCCTCTTGAGTTAGAGCTGAAAGAGCAGAGTGGATGTTACAGCCCGCTGTGGGTGTGCCTGCCGTAAATCTGTTTTTTTTAGGGAAGTGATCACATCCAGAGCTTTCCTTGGCAATGAATGTAACAATTATCACATGAGGATAATGCACTGCCCTGCTGTCTCAGGATTAGGTCTGGCACCCTCAAGTTCTTAAACACCTCCTTTATGCCACTTCTTCACAAACCTTGTAGCAGTTTCTTCTGTTAGCACTGGGTACAGGTTGTATGTGTTCTCTCTCTTAATGTTCCTAATGCTTGGTATTGTTCAGCCATTTATATTCTCTCCTAAAGTTGGAGCAATGTCTGTGGAAAAACGTGTGGTGTTAACTTAAAACCACTGCACGAATGAAAAGAGTTTCTGAACCTTCAGTTCTGTTGGAGCAGTTCTGACACCTCTGAGAGGAAGAACAGGCCGTTCTCTTAATCTGAATTACTTTAAAAGTTTCCCATCCAAGAAGCTTTAATGAAATTACAGATTTAAGAAAAGCAGCTGATTAGCCAGTTGCAGAAGAGAATTGCTTGCCCTCCCTAGCAGAGCTCCTACAAAAATATTGTGACCATTTGAACAAAGAATTGACAAGCTTGGCAATGTCTGAATGTTTGGGGACTTCTAGTGTAAAGCATTTTTTGATGACCTGTTAAATTAGCAGTTTTGATAAAAATGCATGAGCTTGGCCCTCCTTTACATAAAGTTGCCTCTGTATTTGCTATCCGATTTTTATTTCTTCACTTAAGTGTTATTTTTCAGCTGTGAAAGGGTCAAGCATTGAAACAGGGTCCAGAATGGCTGTAGGGTTTCCATCCTTGAATACAGTCAGAACTTGATTGGACAAGATCCTGAACAAAGTCATCTAATTCAGCCTGCTTTGAGCTGGGCTGTTTGGACTTGAGACCTCCAGAGAACCTTTGCAGCCTGAATTATTCTTTGAATCAGCCATTTTGCATACTTGTGCAAACAGTGCAGCAGGGAAAAATGATGACATATATCCAGCAAAGGGAAGGTGTAACAGTTGCACGGATGGGCAAGTGCATGCTGATGAAAACCAGTAGCAGTGATAATGAAGTTGTACTAACTAGGGCTTGTTCGGCTGACTGCGTGTATGTATGTATTTCAGCTGCTTACCCTGTGCTACCAGCAGTAAAGCACACACCTCTAGATGTGATGTGATAAAGAGGTTATTTACTACACTAACATACCTTCATTGCATTTAGAAAATCCTGATGGGGGTGGTGGAGAAGAATACCCCATTGATATCTGGCTGTTGCTGGCTTCCTACATTCGCCCTGAAGACATCGTCCGGTTTTCTTTGATTTGCAAGAAAGCCTGGACTGTTACTTGCACTGCTGCCTTTTGGACCAGGCTTTACAGAAGGTGAGACTCTAGAAAATTTTTAAACTATTTGTAGGAGGCTTCAGCAGTGAACAGCTCTCTGCAGAGCTGTAAAATAAGGGAGTAATTCCCTATAGGCTTGGGTCCTGTAGTGTTTGCATATTGACATGGTGACGCAGGCCTGAGTTGGCAAAGGGTTGTGGTACATTGCATCTGCTTTGGATCTGGAAATGGATGTGTGTGGCATATTCCTGTATGTTCTGCATAAAATCTCAAAGCATCGTGTGCTTTTCTGCACACGGCCTACACATTCCCATTTGTAACAGTGTGGGTGAAACACTCAAAGTGCTTACAGTAAGGTCAGTGCCATTACCTTACTGAAAGACAGGCAAACATGACTGATAGAAAACTTGCCCTGCCTCAAGCTTTGATCACGGCCACATTCCTGTAATTAGGGTGGCCTTAGAGAAACAAAGGCATTTTGGAGCTGTCTTGGTGGCAGAAGTAAGTTATAAATAAAGTAAGAGAAGAGCAAAGATGTGGTTAAAACTTGAAACAAATCCTTCTGCCCTGGTGCATGTCATTTGGACTTTCCTTCAGGACAAAACATTTTCTTTACGTTTCTGTATGTGTTGCCCAGGAGGTGCAAGCAGCAGGAGCACAGAGCGAATAGCAGCCATGGTCGTCCTCGCTCCTGTTTTTTAGTGTGAAGTTGCCTAGCAAAGGCTCCTTTGGCATCTGATCAAAAAACGACCCTCGAGCGCAGGCGTTCAGACTGCTCAGGCAGTTGTCTGCAAGCATGCAGTCAAGCTCAGCTAAAGTGATTCCTTGAGAACCTGCAGGAATCTGCAGGCCTTTGTGCATCCTGCAGCTAGAACACCATCTGGTCTCTCTGGGCAAACTGTCTGCAAGGAATTACTGGGGACTTGTAGCCTGATACGCTTATGGGTATGCTGGAAACCTGTCTGATGCAGGTAGAGTCTTCGAGACTGTCGTGTGATTTCATGTAGAGCAGTACAACACCCTTGAAGCACTTGGAGTCGGCAGGAGGTCCTCTGATCAATCAGATGTTCAGTTTTCTCTCAACATTGATCTCTTCATAGCTCTCTTCTGCACGTCTGGCATTCTGACCCTTCAGCATGTGTTGGGTTTGTCGTTGGCTTTTCAGGCATTACAGTCTGGATGCGTACCTGCCTCTCCGCTTGCGGCCAGAGTCCATGGAGAAGCTGCACTGTCTCCGTGCGTGTGTCATCCGGTCGCTGTACCACATGTATGAGCCTTTCGCATCTCGAGTCTCCAGGAATCCAGCTATTCCAGACAGTACTCCCAGCACTTTAAAAAATTCCAGAGTAAGTGGAATCACTAAGGAAGTTGGATATGTCTGAGATGTTGCTCTTTCTGGTTTTTTTGTTCTCTTTCTAGAAGAAAAATAGATGATGTTTAGATGGTCGCCAGTGAAGCTTGGGTGTAGGATGATTACTAACTTTGAATAGTGATTTTTAAAAGTATGCTGGTTACTTGTGTCTGTATAGTTGGTACTGCAGAAGGTTACTTTTCTGGGTTACTTTTCTGGGTAACTTCTGCTTAAGTCTTACCACAACATCTTTGTAATCAGCAAAAAGGCACTTGCTTCACTGAATGTCAGAACTGCTAGGGATATTTGCAGCTATCCCTTCCTCTGTTGCAACTTTGTTGCTGACAGGAGGTTGCAGTAGGATCAGCTTTTATATCTTCTGCTTTATTCTGATGCTGTCTGCCAGAATACATCTTTTCTCCATAGCAGGCAGCTGGAGAGATCAGAAGTGACACTGATAGCCTCTGAAAGGGAGTCATTTCATACTACGTTCCTGTAGGTCATCCATCATCTTTGGTGTCTGGGCGAGGGAGGGTAGTGAGGTTGTGAGCATGGCAAATGTGCAGAGCAAATGTCTGCTTTGGGACTGGGGCTGCAGTTGTGTTGGGCTGTAAAGGGTTTGTGTCTAGTGTGGGCAGGCAATTCTCTTTGCTATCCCAGCTTGGAGCACTTGCATATCCATTCCTCTTTAATTGCTGTTGACCATTAACTCTGAAATGCCTCTGTGTCTCTTGTTTGGTTTTAACTTGCAATTGGCTGATACTCTGTGAGCAGCTTAAGCAACCATGTGAATTCTCCACTGTCCAAATCCAAAGTCAAAAACCTGTTGAACGAGGTTTTTGGAGCCAAACTGAAGTGGTTTTGGTTCAAGAGTTGTACTTTCTTTTCATGCGAAACAGAGCAACCTCGTCTATCCTATCCGTATGTGACATCCCTCCTTTCTTCCTTCCTCTCCTTGGGTGGATACTGGAAAAAAAATGTCATACGGCTTAGGGAGCATCCAGCAGTAGCACAGGCAGGTGGTGCTGCAGAGCAGGAGAAAAGCAGACAGTTCTGTGTGTCGTCTTGTCTCTGCATCCAGAGCTCTTCATTCTCTTCCCGAATCCCCAGTTTGGGTATCATCTTTCTTAAAAGATAAAGAGCAAAACATTTCTAGGAAATTCCAACTTAACCTTAGTTATTCTAGGTCTAACTTCCTACCACTGCTCTGGTCAGATAGCATGGCTGTAAGAGCTAGAAACCCTGAGATGATGCTGGCAGGGTCAGCATTTTGGAAGCATTCACGTTGACATCATAACGGCTTTGGTGCCCACTGCTGGTGCTTCTACTGTACTAACAGTTTAAGATTCTTGAAGTGCAGTCTTTTATTATCCAGCTTTTAAAAAAGGAAATTAAATGGTGATGAGGCTTTGTTAGAACAGTAGAGGTTTGACCTAACCCCTTGGAGCATAAAAGAGCCATCCTGAGTCTGGTCTTGCTGTACTACTGCATTGCAAGACGCTGAGCTCCACCTGTGTTACTGTGCACACAAATGCCTCGGCACAGTGGGTGCGGAGGAGGATCTGACATTGCCTCCCCACATTCTTGCTTTCATGGGCTTTGGTTATACCTTTACGGGTCACTGAAACTAATGGCAAATGCCTACGTAAACTGCATGTGGCAAGAGGAGAGCCCAGACCCGGGTGTTATCTAATCTAGCTTTTCCTCTTTAATTTCCTTTTTTATTTTCTTTTCCTCTTCCCCTAGCCTAGCTTGTGTGGGACACTGGAGCCGTTATGGTGTCAGCAGAAGTGTTTGCCCTTTAAAGACACCCCCATTATTTTTGGTGGAGCGGCAGGCCATACGGCGCGTCTGAAGGGCAGGACGGCTGACCCGTGGACGACATCCTCTGCCCCTTAGGAGGTACTGACCATTTTGTGCTTCGCTACTTGCCATGACCAAACAAGTTGTTAGACCAGGCTGTCTCTGCAGGTGAACTACAAATGCCACTGATGGTGGAGTTAAACTCAGCAGCATCTGCTGCTCACCTGAGTTAAAAAAGATCTGGAGAACATTTTTATCAGGAAAAACTGAGGGCCGCCTCCTCCCGGGTGGAGGTTACTTGACACGTGTTTCTGAGCTTCACTCCACATAGCTTTGTTGTTCACCTCATGAAGGCTGTTGAGATAAAGGTCCTTTAAGGACTCTTGTTTATGGACATGACTCAGGGTTGAAGTAAAGGGTCTCATATCACCTGTAGTCTCTAATTACGGAGCGCCCATGGTGGAGACTGGCTCTGGCTTTGTTTCATTTGGGGTCACACTATCCGGGAATGAAATGAAATGTGTGCTTCACCCTGCAACCCAGTCAGGCCTTCTCTTGGCATGGGAGAGACTGTGTATGGGTCATGAGGAATTGTCTTTACCTGTATTATTCTTCCCTGTTAAAAGATAAGACCAGCTGTGACCAGCTGGCATCTGTGGTGTGGAAACACTTTCAGTGATGGCTGGACTGACTTGCCAGATCTTTTTCTCAGCTGTGGAAGGCTAGTTGCTTCTACTCGCTGGTAGGCAGGAAATTTCCCTCCTATTCAGTTTAATACAGGAGTTCTGCTGAGACTCCTGCTCTAGAACGAGTGTGGCATGCTGGGATGGATCCTGTGGACCAGACAGTGGTAGCTGGATTAAATTGGAGGACTCCTGGTGTTATGTCTGCATGGGAGGGTAGTGCTGGTTACCTCTGATGCTGTTTGGGGCCCTTTTCTCATTTTCTTTTAAAAAGGGGCCGTAGGTTGATCAGGCTGTGCTATTCTGGCAGCGTTTTTATACTCTGAAGTATGACAGTCAGTGCCTAGTGATGTCAAGACCTTCTTTTGACACCACAGTGGCTTAGGAACTTTCTCATCTGTCACCTCATAGCTCATGTATTGGCCTTTGCATTTCCCTCTGCATTCTCTCCTCCTTGATCCTCATTCCATTTGCAGTTGTTCCTCGCTTTACTCTTGTCTGGAGTCCAGTTTAATGGGAGCTCTTGGTGGGTGGGGGAAACGGGTGAACCTGTACCACTCATCTCTGCCTTATGAAAGGGACAAACTGTGCAATGGGATTTTTCTGTTCAGCACGTCAGTGGCCACGTATTGTATCATCCGGTTGTATGATGAGTTGGCCAACTTGAAACTGGGAAACCTAAACTGCTGAGTGTGTTCTTTGAACATAATTAATTTGAATAAATGGCTCCTAACTGCTCCTATGTAATTGTGTTTGTAATTGGAAGCCTTTTGCTCTGCTAAAACTTATTTAAAGTGGTGCCTCTAAGGGTTTTATAATTTTGTGTGTATTTTTTTTTTTTCCCCACCTCAGTGTCTGCTTTTCTGGTGCAAAAAGATTGAAGGGAACAGACAAGAAGCAATGTGGGAATTCAACTTCAAGTTCAAAAAGCAGGTATGAAAGAAGAACCAGAACGGCTGTGACTTTTTTTGAAGCAGTAATGATTTTTATGGGTGGTAGAAAGGAAGGTGGAAACTTTTTATGCGTTCAGACAATAAATGGAAACTCTGACTCCCATGACAAAATAAAGCACATTCTGAGACTACACTCAATTTTCGGTCTGTTACCAAGACATTTAAAATCCTGGTTTTATTTCCTCATTTGGTATCCTTTCTCCACTGAAAGATGTGGATCGTTTGTTACCCCAAATAATCTAATCTTTGGGTCATTGCTACTGATTGCTACCAAAAACCAGACTATTTTACTTCAGTGGTCAAAACATAGGCCAAAATCTGAAACTGCTTGTTTTACCATTGGAAAGATTTCCCAGAAAAGAGAAGAAAGCCAACACTACCAATGAAAACCTCCAGTACTGGGTCTCAGGAGAAGCAAGTAGTTTCAGGCAACCTTGGGAATTCTGCAGCTTTCCCCTCTAAAGAAATGGTCCTGCAAATTGTTTGTCCTGAGTGATGGCTTTTTGTCATTTATGTAACGTTCTGCCCAAACACGTGGGACTGCGGTGAGAACCTGCCAGTCAGCACCGGTGAGAAGCAGTCAAGCTCTCATCGTAGCTTTCTGTTTAGCTAAATAAGTCTCTCTTTCTTTCAAGTCTCCCAGATTTAAGAGCAAGTGTTGCAAAGGTCTTCAGCCACCGATTCAGTATGAAGAAGTCCATACAAATCCGGATCAGGATTGCTGTCTACTGCAGATCACCACCTTTAACTTCATATTCGTGCCAATAGTCATGGGTATGACGTTTACCTTGGTAAGTGTTTGTGAAATCTGCTTGGCAAGCTTTGCATGTGCAGTTTCTGTAAGGAGATGAAGAGATGTGTAAATCACACTGCTGCATCAACAAAGCAGTTCTGGGAACCTTAAGCTTCATGATCAGAGGAAGTGCTGGGGGTTTCCTCAGTTTAGCTTCTGCATGTCCGTCAGCTCTTCCCTATTTGGTGCAGCAAATTCAGATGATTTAAAGAATCTGCAAGGAGCTGTGGTTGTGCAGCATCTGGGGGGAGATTAGTTGTCCATACTCCAGCAGGGTACAAGAGTTAGGGACACAGGAGAAGAGAAGGTCTTCCCTCATCATGAAAATATCTCCTTACCTTAATGGCAATAAATTCTGAGAGCAAAAACCTATGCGAGCAAACTCTTCAATGTGTGTATGGTCCCTGGCTGCTGATTGCTGGGAGAAGGAGCAGTTTATGAACTAGCTTCCATAAACTTGGCTCCAGACAGCAGCAGAGCAGGTGTGCTTGGGCAAGAGCAGTGGTAAAGCGTGGGGCCGTGCATGTGCTGTACTGGTAGGTCGGGGTTTCAGAAGTGACCTGTGCCCAAGAGAGGTTTGACCTCACTTCACTTAAGAGTAGGGCAGTGAGTTCCAGACTTCCTCTGGCAGCCACTTGCTTTGAGGTTCATTTGTGGCATTATTATTTGGGGTTGCCAGACAGAGAGAACTGGTTTGAATCCAGTGCTGTAGATTCAGAGTGTAACTCTGCCAGCACCTGAAATAACTTAGACTTGTACAATTTAGAAGAATTAAAAAAAAAAAAAAATTCTAAAAGTGTACAGTTAAGAACTCTATTTATTCATCACTTTGGTTTTCTGAAGCACCTCCTGGTCTCTCTTCTCGCAGTTCACCATCAATGTGAGCACAGACATGAGGCATCATCGCGTGCGCCTGGTGTTCCAGGACGCCCCCGTTCGCAACGGCAAGAAACCTCGCCTTGACCAAGGAGTGCAGGTTGTGCTGGACCCTGTGCATAGCGTGCGGCTCCTGGATTGGTGGCACCCACAGTACCCCTTCTCTCCAAAAGCTTAGTGCTCTCCCGAGTCTGCAGGAGCCGGCAGGTGACTGAATCTGGCAGGCTGAAGAGAATTTCTAGGAACCAGGAAATCCTATTTTTATTTCTTAAATAAATTCTGCAGTCTCCTTGCAAGTGGTTGAAGCTACTGAGCTAGTCTGTATGTATATAACTTCTGGTCAGTGATGGGCAGAGCTGAGTGTAAAGCAGAAACTATTTGTAAACACACTTTTATGTAAAATTCACGTTTTATGATTTGAAAGGAGCTCCCTGGAACTGTTCATTTAAAATCCTTTTGGTGCTAATGAAAGTGGTCCTGTTTTCTGTTTGGGAAGAAGCAGGAGGTTTTGCTTTCCAGGTTTAATGTGACCAGAAACAACTCATGAAAAAAAACCCATGTTTGTTTTACTGCAGCATGCTTGCGTTCAAACACAGTGTGATATTTCAGTGTCTGGGAAGCAGTAAGCAAAGCGGCAGTGATGCACAATCCAACATACATGAGTTTAAGGAAAGAAAACAGCATCAATGATTGAACAAAGGAATGATTTCAAGGAGGATTTGTAAGGCAAAAGTCTTTCTTGAATGTAAAGATATTCCAAGTTCTCACCCTGATGTTTCCTCTTTGAAAAGAAGATCTAAACCTTTAAAACCAGAAGGTGCTTTTCAGAGAAGATAAATGGAGGGAGAGGAGATGGAGGGGATAAACTAAAATAACTGAAGCAGTGATGAAGGACTTGACTCTGTCTTTCTAAGAACAGTGTTGGCCTCTTGACACTGGAAAGCCCAGAAGCAATCAGTGATTTGGTTCTTGACTAAACAAATTCATTTCTGTGAGGAAGAAGCAGCCCTGAAATTTTCTGTGGCTTTGGGTTGATTGAGAAAGGAGAGGGGCACAGAGGCTGGGCCTGTCTGCCGTGTCCAGAATGAATTGGGCTGGAGATTTAATTCAGCGGGTGAACATCTGGCTGCTGACAGCCGGGGCTCTCCTGGAGGAGCGGTGGCAGGCAGAGGAGGCACTGGGGTGCAGGTGAGCAACAGTGGAAGTAGTAACCCCGGGCTGAGTTTCGCTGCCTGTTGACGATTAGCTCCTCAGTCCTGTTTCACAACAGATCTTGTCTCAAGCAGGAGTAACAGCACTTTTCCATGTGTAATGTTTAGAGAAGCTCCTGGAAGGAGAGGGAGTTCTGCCATCTCAGTTTGCATTTAATATGCAAATACCCCATGATCCCTGTGTAGCTGCCTGGGAGGAGTTTCTTGCACGTGCCTCTGCCGCTCTGTAAATCACCGCCAAGGACATCTACCCCAAACTTGGATGTATGTTAGAGGCTCTGTGATGTTGACTTCAAGCAAACATATTTGGGAAAAGTCCTGTCTCGCAGTTCCCCTTTTCACTGCTGCTGAATATGTGTTGATGCTAACAGGTAAGCTTTGAAACTGGAGTAGTTGAAGTAGAGACACAGGGCAAGAAAAATGTGCCATAACTGTGACCGTGGAGCTGGCTCCTGTGATAGTGGTGCCTGGTCTGAGTCGTGGTTGCCTTTGTGGTGCAGGAGGGGAAGGGCAGCGAGTTAGTGCTGGAGCTGTGCGTAAAGGCAGCAGCACTCCAGGCAAATGTTGTGCAACACGCGGCGGTGCCGGTGCAGAAGGAAGCTGCAGGGCAATGATGAATAACCGTCTTTTTGCGGTGGGGTTAAATACTGCTGAACTCGGTGACAAGTCCTAAGTGGTCATGTGGTGGAGTTTCTCCACTGGAGTTTAGTAAATGAAACATCGTCAGCTTGCGCAGTTACCTGGTGTCTGGGGCGGGAGCTCTTTCTCGGCTGGTGTATGCTCTCCTAGGGAGGTGTGTGTTCAATCGGAGCCTGTTTTCTGCAGAATCCGAGGTGCTTTGAAGAGCATCCTTCAAGGCGTTTTCTGCTATGTACCCTGAAAACTCTGTTTTACACGATGATGCCAGCGCTGTGTGCCTGGCGACGGCTGCTTGTGCTGTGCACAAGGTATGGACACAGAGGGCGGGGGCAGAGGTGTTTGGTTCCCGGCTCAGGGCAGGGTGTCGGGAGGGTGCAGCAGGCTGGTGTCTGCCTAAAGCTCTGCCCTCGCCCACGGAGAACTGACCGGCTTGACTGGGGACTGGGGGCACCGGCCTGCGCCTTGCTCTTGCTTCTGTGAAGAAATACAGAACAAATCTTAGGACTACGTGTTTCTGACATCTGTGGGAGTAGGAATATGCTCTAATCAGGCGTATTGCATGTCCAGGATATGCTTCGTGTTCTGGGGCAGAGGTGCTCCATCCAGCAGCGCCCGCTCCGGGCGGCGAATGGCTTTCAGTCCCGTAACTCTCCCTGGGCAGCTGGTCCTCGAGCGGTGCGGCCGGAGCGGGCGGCGCAGGCTGTCAAGGCAGGAAGCAGAGGGATGGGGTGTTTCCTGCTGCCAGCAGACTTGCTGGTTTCAAATAAGGATGTTTAGACAGATGCCCCTAACCCAAAGAGGTGCCTCTCCCATGCCAGCCTTTTTCAAGGCTGAAACATATAAAATGTAGAAGAACGCTTTTCAGTCTTTTCCTTTGCAAGTAGCAAACGGCGGCGCAGGCTGTCAAGGCAGGAAGCAGAGGGATGGGGTGTTTCCTGCTGCCAGCAGACTTGCTGGTTTCAAATAAGGATGTTTAGACAGATGCCCCTAACCCAAAGAGGTGCCTCTCCCATGCCAGCCTTTTTCAAGGCTGAAACATATAAAATGTAGAAGAACGCTTTTCAGTCTTTTCCTTTGCAAGTAGCAAACCTTACGATGACTCCAGCACCACGGCCGTGCTGATCGGC